GAATCAGTTATCACCTATGTCCCAATTTAAGGGGATAAATATAGAGATAGTGCTCCAATCATACCGTAAAAAAGGATAAAGAGCTTCGTGCAAGAGCTTGTCCTCAAGGAAACTGCACTCTGTTGAGAACAGAACCCAAGCACACATGCAGGATTATTTTTTGTGTTAAAGTGTTCTCTTTCAGAATTTTCACAGCAGTCATTCACAGATTCAGTCACTCACCAGATCTGAGCATCACAGATCACAAGAGTGAGAGGACCACGAGTTTCTGGTCCAATAATGTTTGTTTTGCATTAGTCATGTACAGATGTGAGAGCTGGACCATAAAGAAGGCTCAGTGCTGACAAATTGATGCTTTCAGATTGTTGTGCTGGAGAAGACTCTTGGGGTCCCTTGGACTGCAAGGAGATCCAACCAGTCCATCCTAAAGGAAATCAATCTTGAATATTCACTGGAAGGACTGATGCTGAAGTAGAAGCTCCAGTACAGTGCCACCTGATGTGACGAGCTCACTCATTGGGTAAGACAGATGCTGGGAAAGATTCAGGGCAAGAGGATAAAGGGGAAACAGAGGATGAGATGGTTGGAGGGCATCACCGACTCGATGGACATGAGTTTGAACAAATACTGGGAGACAGTGAAGGACAGGGGAGCCTGGCATGCTGCAGTCCATGGGATCACAACGAGTCAGACACAACTTAGTGACTGAAAACAATGTTTGTCAAAAGAGGGGAAAGCATCTCCATTTCAGGTAGCTTTTACAGGAAGACACGAGATGCCTGATTTTTCATAAGTTTAGAAAAAGAGAAGAGATCTAGATCTGATTAACTGTCAGGCAGAAGGCTTTGACTCCTGTCGATGCGGCTTCAGGAGTGCACGGTGATGGAGCTGTGTTCAGGGGTCTGAGCCCCCAGACGTGACAACAATAGATGTGAAGTAGCAGGAGTGGGGAGTCGGGCGGGGGAGAGTTGGGGGTGGGCGGGGAGCTTCTGGAGAGCTAGGGGGACACCTCAGGGACATGGATCCGCCTCTGCAAGGGAGTGGTCCTCCTGGACGCCAGCCCTCGGAAAAGGAGAGTCCAGGGAAGGCAGAGCAGCACATCTCCTGGAAATAGCAGGGCTCAGGAGGACAGACGGTGAAACTGTCCCCTTCTGTTTGGCCTCGAGGCCGTTGATGAGGTGTCGGAAAGTCACTGATTGTGCAGACTCACGGAGTGGGAACCCGGCCAACGCCTGAGCTGCGAATCAGACAAAAGTCTCAAGAAAACGCTTTGCGGCTTCTCCTCATACCCTCTCAATTTTCCTCTTTAAATTCAAGAACATTTTATTTAAAATGAAATTCCCTGTAAAGCCATGCATGGCCTTTTATTTAAAGATGGAGCATCTCAGAGAATAAAAGAAGGAAGAGAGGAAATTAAAAAAGCAATGAGGAAGGAGGCCTGGTGGCCTGGCCTCTCACCAAGTGACCCTCTGATGGACCACATGGGACTCAGCACGCTGTGCGCCGAGCAGGAAGCCAGCGATTTACGGCGCCTTGTTTGGGCTTTTGATAAGTATCTCTGTAAAGTGATGCGAGGAAAAACAACCCCAGCTCTACTATCCTTGCAGAATTCCTGTAAATTATTTTACGATGAGAGAGGCTATCAGGACTAGAGAGAAACAACCCCCAGGTTCAGAATATTTATGTGTGTTTCATTTAAAAAATCTGGGCCACAATGTCCCAATGATCATTAAGCAACCTGTCTGGGTGTCCTTCAAAAGCCAGAGGATCTTTTCCCCGGGGAAGATGAAACAGTTATTCACAAGGCGGGGTAGAGAGCCATCGGGCCGCATCCCACTCATGAAACATGAGGAACCCTCGGGATCACCGGGTTTATTCGGAAACTCTCTTGGAAAAATAGAAGGGGATAGTTTTTCCATTCCCCTTACCCGAAGCCAAAGTGTAATAGTGGTAAAAAGCACTGGTTCATTTAGTCAGGTGACAGGCGTTGGCTGAAATCTGGCATCTCGAAGGAAGGAGAGCTTCCTGTTAATTTAGGGCAGTGCTTCCCAACAGGGGGCCCACTTTGCCCCCTTGGAGGACCTTTGGCAAGTGCTGTGGACGCTTCAGGTTTCCCCGATGGCTCAGCTGGTAAAGCCTGCCAATGCAAGACACGTGAGTTTGGTCCCTGGAAGATCCCCGCAGGAGGGCATGGCAAACCACTCCAGTCTTCTTGCCTGGAGAATCCCATGGACAGAGGAGCCTGGTGGGCTACAGCCCATGGGATCGCAAAGGGTCAGACTCATCAGGCACAGGGTGGCCACATGGACACTTTTGATGGTCGCCCCTGGGAGGCGCTACTCTATCTGGTGGGCAGATGCCTGTGATGCAGACAAACCTCCTACAACATACAAGACAGCCCTCCCACGAGGAATCATCCAGCGCGAAATGTCAGTAGTGCCGAGCTTGAGGAATCCTGACTGAGGGGCTCCTTGGTGAGCCATTGATCTTACTGTCAAGGACTTAATCTTGCAGGACCACTGAGAACATTCTGTCTTCAGAATATCTATGCTGGCTCTTCTGAAAGGCCCTTGGTTCGCACTACTGGGTAAGGAGATCACATATGAGTTGTTTTAGCATAAAATTACTTTCATTCTATGGCCAAAGGCTTTTCACCCAGAAAGCTGCCTCAAAACTTTATATTCTTTTCCCTGGCAGGGCTTCAGGAAATTCAGGGCCATTGTGGCAAAGCAGAGTCCTCTTTCTATCTCAAGTGCAATGAGTAAGGGGGTTTTCTAGATGGCTCAGTGGTAAAGAATCCACCTGCAATGCAGGAGATGCAGGAGACACAGCTTTGATCCTTAGGTTGGGAAGATCCCCGGAGGAAGGCATGGCAACCCACTCCAGTATTCTTGCCTGGAGAATCCCATGGACAGAGGAGCTGGGGAGGCTGCAGTCCATGGAGTCCCAAAGAGTTTGACATGACTGAGTGACTGACCATGCATATACACAATGGGTAAATGGACCATCTACTCTAACAGTACATCATTGCTGGGAGGATAATTTTGTCCCATTTTAAAGAACCAAGGCTTCCAGCTTTCCTAGGATCACTGTAAAGACACCATCATCTGTAAAGAACTGCCAGAAAATAAACCAAAATGAATACCCTCAAGAAAGGGGTCCTTCTCTAGGATAACTCTGGTGCTTGCCTGCAGACTCCGACTTGCCTTGTCTGAAAGGTGTTTACCCCACAGACATCCCAGGAGGCAGACGGCTCCTTCGCTTTTTGCAGCAGCTTTTACAAAGGACTTACTTCTGGCTACTTCTGGGAAATGTTAGTGTTGGGCGTTTCTCTTTAAGCTGTTTCTGCTAAAGCAGGATTGAGGTCAAGAGAGGCAGAAGTTGCCTGTTCTTACTCAGCTTTTATGGACAAAGAGTGCTGAGCTTCAGACTTGTCAATCTGCACGTGAGACTCTGCTCAGTAGAAGGTCCGGGTGGATGATTCATGGATCTCTGTGCATTTGATCTTCCCAGATGAGAAGAACCAGCCCAGCTGACCAGCTATGGTGCTGTGGAACTTCCCGGCACTGGTGTCTCCTGAGACTAATGTAATTCTTTTAAGATTGATATTTCCATGAGGACGCACTGAGCACTGCCTGTTTGAATCACTTAAAACTCAAGGAATGACTAACGCCCTTGCACACTGGTCTCTCTCTCCCTCCTTTTTCTTTAGGCACACGGCGTGTTGAGATGGGTTGCTATTGACAAATGATATGGAAGTCACTAGAGAAGCGAAAATACGAATAGTGTGAAAAATTTAAAGGAGGCCCCCAAACCTGAAGTTCTGCCAAGTCTCCAGGCATGATTTGCCCCATAAGTGGATCAAGCTGCCCAGGGGATCCTCTGCTCACAGAACGTCCTCCACAAGGCAGGTGGGTCAGTGACCTTCTCTGAAGTCAGTTTCTTGGTTTCCAGCCCACAGCTCACCCAAGAGCTCATTGCTGGACACACCCGCATTCATGACATTTCCCTGAGTGCTCCAGTATGTGTAACTCCAACTGTGCTGCCACAGATGTAGCATCGTGAAGCTGTGCGTGTGCTGACCAGGGAGCCCAGCCTGGGGATCCTGGGGCGCCCCCGGATCCAGTTGGAGGACTGCATCACCGGGTGGTGACCTTGGCGTGTCTGTGAAGTACTTGAAGAGGGTCCGTGGTTGTGTCTCAAGGGAAGGGAAGAGGCAGCTGAGGTTGCTGGTCCTGAGAAGGAGACATCACCATAGATGTAGGGAGGCTTCCTGGAAGTGGTGGAGGCGGGCTGGTGTTTGAAGGAAGTAATAATGAGATGATAATAATAATAACAGCAATGATAAAGCTATCCTTTGCTGAGATCCTACTATGACCCAGCCACTGTACTAAATGCTTACTATGAACTTTTTTTTAAGTCTCGTCAATTTCAAGGTGGTATTATTATGATGGCCATTTTTCAGGTGAGGAAACTGAGGCAGGAGAACATCCAGATGGGAATCTTCACGAGCCGAATCGTGGCAGGGAGACCTTTAGCTTTGGAATGGATGGGGGTCTTAGACAGCATCCAGGCTTGATGATCCTCAGGTGCATGCAGGAGCCACCGCTGCCTCAAACCACGGGCTGTCCTGGAGAGCCACTCGGAGGCTCTTGCTGGCTTCTTCCGTGTTCGCTCTGTGACCTGCGGGGGAGAGACAGCACGTGGACCAGCCTGGCTGGAGCAGAGCATTTATAAAGGGACCTAGGAGGTCTCTTGTGCTAAAATCCTTATTTACATAGCGCGGACAATCACACATGACGAAATCAGGAAGAGAACAGAGGAGAGCGGCCTAGGAGCTGAAAGCAGAGCAGATCACAGAGGGGTTGGGGCGGGCAGATGAGCTGATACTGGATCCAGGTTTGAGACGATCAGTCAGTCGGCACTGGGAGCAGAAACTGGGGAGATGCGTGGAATGCACAAGGAGACGGGCACTGACAGCTGACTGTTGGGGTGACCAGAGGGAAAGGAACCGTCTCTTCCTGCCTGCTCAGCATGGACCGTGAGTATCGTGAGAGAAAACGGACAGGCAGCAGTGACCTGAAGGGCAATAGTGAGCATGAAAACCGCAACAGCCAGCAGAGTCCACCCAAGGTCTGGCTTCGTGAGTCCACCCAAATGATGTTCTGAATAAAGCGCTGGTGAGGACCAGCAGCTCCAAGCTGGTTTTCTGTCCTTGTTCTACTGGAAATTTCCATCATCTCTGCTGTCTCCCCAGTGCTCTTGGGATGCCTCATGTACCATTTCCAAAGGGGAAGCAGGAGGTTGTCAGCGTGTGGATTAAGAGATCAGGCTTGCTTAGAACTCTCAATCTCTACCTTGGAGGTGGCCTCACCATCCATCACCCAAGAGGCACATCGAGGAAGGTGCTTTTTCTCAGCTGGAATGGGACTGTGGGGGGAGATTAGAAGAGAGAACGTGCTGCCGTTTCTGGCTCCAAGAATTCTTAGCTTAGACAGGAGACCTTCGGGAAGCCCTCCCACCCCAGAGAGCTCTCCGTGACAATGTTTAATTCTCCGGTGAACTCCTAGAGGCAACTGTTAAGAAAACCATTTATGAGGGGAAAAATGAACACTGACGAGGATTAAACCAGGACTCCGAGGGGGTGCTGCTGCTTGGACGCAGGTGTGACCCCTGCCCTCCGCGTCTGCAGCTCCTGTTCTAGTCACCGGACCACAGCGCACCCAGAAGTCTGGCAAGTGGACGTGGGTCTGGAGGGTCAAGTGTGCGGAACGGGGCGCTCCGGTCTGAGAGCGTCAGCCTCGTCAGCCAAGGGACACTTGGATCTGTGGGTTGTTCTGCCCAGAAACGAAAAGGGGAAACTCACTGGGGAGGCGAGTTGCCTCCAGCAGCTTTGATGCTGTTGACTGTGACTTGTACAGGGGACAACGCTGGGTTCCCAAGCTCTTGGGCAAGAAATAGAAAAGCCTTTACTTTTTAGTAACTGATTAAGTTTCCAAGTCAGATGCCCTTTCTCTGAGAGAGGCAGAAACTTAGTAGCAGTCACCTGGCCCCTTGAATACCACCCCCAAGCTCCCCAGCATTTGCCCAGACCTGGAGGAAAGCCTGGGGTCCTGCCTGACCTCTGTGTGGAGCCACCTGCCCTTCCGGGAGCAGCTGTGCTGGCCATGGTCCCATCCGGGGCTCACCTTGATGCTCTCCACCTCCCTGCATCCCTGCTGTGACTTCCTCGGCTCTTCTGGGCTCTGTCATCTTCCTTCATTGCTTTCGCCACTAACTAGAAGCCAGGAATCGCTGTGCAGCTCCAGGGACCACCAACTCAGACTGCTCTTCCTGACGACCACCCAGGCATCCTGAAACTCCGGATCTTACAAAAGTCCTCCAGGTTCTCCAGCCTCCCAGAACCCACCTGAAATCATACTCAGCTTTTCTCATCCACCTTTCCTCTCTTTCCCCACAGGCTGAGAACTTTTCATCTAGTCTGAAGGTGCATTGCTCTGCGCGATGGGGGGAGACGCCCACCTCTTTTTCAAACCATCTCTGGTCTCGGCTTGCTTATTTCTTCCTCTGGCGGCGGGGGCGGGGGGTGGGTACATTTTTGGAACACAGGAGCCAGAAGGCATTCACAGATTCTTTCCTTCTTCCTTTGAGGGATTCTTCTCCTGAGGCAACAGACACAGAACAGCAGAAGGGCTTGAATGGGGAAAGTACAAAGGAAAGAATAGACTTGCAAGGTCGTGAATCCTCAAACGCCTTGGGGAAGTCCGTCCCTGCTCTGACCCCAGTGTGTGGAGACCTTGCTGCCAGAGGCCTGCCACGTGCCCGCTTCCTGCCCAGTGTGTGACGCCGGCCTCCAGCCAGGCCCATTGGTTATTATTGCCCCAAAGTTTCTGATGAAAAGCATGGCCTGGGTGTGCGTGAGCCCCGCTGAGGCCTGCGGTCCATCCCAGAAGGACAAGAAGAATCTTCAGGGGAGCCACCTGAGAATCGGGGTGTCCACAAGCAGCCCCGGAATCCCTGTCACTGGGAAGTTTGGGGAAGCCTGGGGCTTCCAAGAGGCCTGACTGCTTCAGGACCTGCACCCCCAGATTCCTGGGTGGAATGGGGAGACTGTGGACCTTCTCCAGGGGTCTGTGCCTTGGAGGTGGCTGAGCTGGTGTTCAGACGTTCTGTCTGAGGGCCTAGAACTCACAAAGCTCCTCTTAGGATGTGAGGCCGTGGTCCTCCAGACCTGGTGCAGACACAGATGTTGGCTCAGCTCAGCTAGCAGGAAAATTGAGTAACTTTCTGTCTCACTGTGCATCTTCTGGGGCTTTCCAGGTGGTGCTAGTGGTAAAGAACCCACCTGACAATGCAAGGGATATAAGAGACACAGGTTCAATCCCTGGGCTGGGAAAATCCCCTAGAGAAGGGTATGGCAACCCACTCCAGTATTCTTGCCTGGGAAATCCCATGGACAGAAGAGTCTGGCGGGCTGCAGTCCATGGAATCATAGAGTCGGGACACAGCTGAAGCAACTTAGCACACAGGCATCTTCTGAGTGACTTGGCCACCATCGTAGGCTCAGGACAGGCGAGAGCTTCTTAAAGGACAATGGGGACCATGAGATTGGGCTGTCCTGGAGCCCCCGTTTAGCCCACCAGGGGAGGCCGAACAGAAGTGTGGCTGAGGGCCAGGTAACATGCTCCCGCAGGGGTTCCTGCTGCTTTGGGCCTGCCCTGGCTCACCGGTGCTCGCGGGGTGCCCTGCAGAGCCGTGCGGCCAGAGGCTGGACGTTCAGGGGCCGCAGAAAGGGAGAAGGACCCCTTCTATGGGCCGCGCGTGTCGCTCGCCTGCTCTCCGGGGAGGCTTCCCTCATTCTCCATCTGTCCATTTGTAAAACGCCCACCTACCTCTGCGGTAATCGAGAGGAGTCATTCATGAAATGATTTTAAAGCGCTTATCCAGGAGAGCCTGCTGTGGAATTGCTTCATAATAGTGAAAGTTTTCACTTGAGTGGGTATTGAAAACAAAGGATTGACCTTCCCGAAAAGGAAAACACTCCTAATTCACGACAAATAGAAACAAATACATTGTTCGTTTGTGGCTGTCAGGTCACTCGTTTGCGGAGGGCCGATCCCGACCCTGTGAAACAGCTGCTCATTCATCTCATCTGGTGTTCAGGTTTGAACAGGCTTGGAGGAACCCCTCCCAGACCTCTCAGGCTGGCATCCTGCATTATGAACTGTGGACTTGGCTCAGAATGGGCAGAGCTGCCAGGACCCTGTAACTAAACCTGGGTCACCAGCTCTTTCGATACTGCCTTACTGTCCTAAAGCCCTCTCCCATGGATGATTATGGGGTTCCAAATGTTGGATACTTGTACTTGAGCGTCATAGTGAAGCCGGCATCTTCTGGGTTGGAATGAATCACTACGCTCGTCTCTGGACAGAGAAGAGATCCGATCATTCCTTACCTTTAAGTATCACTGCCTAGTGAGGGCCTCTGAACTATAAACTGCGCAGGTATCATCACCCCCATTTTATGGATGATAAAATTGAGGCCAGGATGCCAAGTAACTAGATAGATGACCCAGGATTATAGATACAAGAGTACAAGGTAAGCCTGAATCTGAGCCCAAGTGCCGTTTCTCCCTAGATTATGCTGCCTTAAAAAATTGATTTCTCTAGGTATTTGGCCAAGTGTTTTTCTGGTCAACAAATTAAATTAAATTTAGTCCCCAGGAGAGGGACCACAGGGAAGAACAAGTGGTCTTGCCTGGCATTTTGGGTTTAAATCTTACATTAGAAAGACTACACTTTCTTATTTGTCAGTGTCAGCATGATAAATAAAAGCACCCTACTGGCAGTGAACATCAGTAAGTAACTGGCATTGACATTTTATAATTATGAAAATTTAAAAATGTTCGGATGATAATGGCAGCACTGATAATATCGATGTGTCCTGGTCTGAAGGCACTCACTTTAATGTTTATGTGCCCCCCATACATAATAATAAATTAAGTGGGCAGGCATCACATCCTAGGCATTTTTCTCATTGATATGATTAGTAAACCAGTTCTCCATTACATGGATAAAGTACTAGTTCAGAATTATGGTATTGTAGAGTTTTCTCTGCAACCACTTGCAAAGACCTCTTGAGTAAATTTCCAGTCTTTATTTCTGGATGACTTTCTTTTTTCATAAAATGGCAACACACTGCTTGTATACTGCCAAAAGAAATGGACTCAGCTCTTAGATTTTTAAAAAGATCTGCATATACATTGTGCATCTGTTATAATTACTGATGTTAATTGTCCACATGTAACTAACTCTACATCTGTCCTGGCTGCTTGAGGCAAGTGCCACCTTAACCAACACACCTTCACCAGGAAGCTTTCTGTCTCTGCTATAATCAGAAATGTATTTCCTAGGCCACACATGGGGTCCCTGGACTGTCAGCCTAGGGTTTCTGAACTGGGATTCCAAGGAGGGTTGTCTTGTATTTTTTAGTGATTAGTTTTTTTCAGGATACAGATCACAATGCTCATTCTCCTTCCGGGGGTGGTGGACCTCCTGGCTCTTGGGGTGCCCATGGTAAAGCAGGCTTCTAAATGTGGTCCATGCATTTCGTCTGAGGCCAGAGTTAATTTCTACCCAGGCTACCCACCACCCCCACCCCCCGCCCCGCTTAACAGAGCTGGGGCCCATATACAAGTCAAATCTGCTATTTTTCCTCGGGCAATGATTTATTTCCCTCTTAAATTGGCTGGACCAGTTAGTTTTTTATTTTTATTAAGTCACACTATTCTTAAATGAAACTATTGATTTAAAGTCAGCTTAGTGAGGATTTAATTTGTTTTCAGGGGATTAGAGCAGGTAGCATGGGATAATTTTACAATAAAGTGGAACAGAAGCATTCCTTCACAGTAGCCACCCCTTTCTTTCCTGGCCAGGCTGCATAGACGTTACAAATTTTCAAGTAAATTGTGGGAATACATTCATAAATCAGTCCTAATTCCTTGGCTTGCTGAAGTGAGATTCAAAGGAGTATTTTCTCATGACCTTGTCCTACTGTCCTTCTAGTGATAGTCCAAGCATTGGTTCTAAAACATACATGTACGTGCACACATGCACACATACACACACACACACACACTTCTCC